AAAATACGTGAAATTTTATTTACCATTTTCACCGAGACCATAATTATACACCTCGTTTGAGCTCCCCCATTTTTCATCACCATTGTTTCCAATTTTTTCACCTCTTAATAGAGTCGTACCAAGAGAAATCGAAGAAAAGGGTTGTACCAAATTTGGGGGTGTAAACAAGGTACGTTATGGTCTCGGTGAAAATTTTCAATAATTTTATATCTGTGCACCAGATTTCCACCTGGGTGGTTTGTGTAAATGGTAATTAAAGCATCTCTCAGTTTCCAAAGATTGTTTACTAACTATGCAATACAACAGACGCGCTGATCAGACATAACAACTCAGGTTTGATTGATATTCTTATTAGTCTGGCTGCCAGAAGCGACACACACAATTGAAAAGAAATTCATAGATAATTAAAATTTAATGTTGCATATAATTTAATGGTTTTTGAGAACACCTATCGCTTTAGAAAAAGACTCAATATTTTACAGTGTTTGTCAGATTCCTCAATTTCACGGAGTTCTCCAACAGTCTCTCCCCACTAATCGGCGATGTTCTCTTTTTTTTTACTTTTGCTCGTTTTCCCTCATTCCGTTGTTTTCTGTGATACCTAATGCGGCTTCTGCTCAAATGGAAGGTTAGTTTTCTTTATTTATATAGAAGGACATAGACTGACATGACTTCTTGTGCTTTGTATGTAACATATGACTTTCCTTGGTAACTAAAAATTCCGGTGAGTGCGTTAAAGAGATTGTATCAGAGCTCCGATCTAAGTGAGGACTGTGGATGTAAACTATGTTTTCTTTTAAAGACCCCATGGTTAAAATGCAAAGACGCTTCTGCCCTTGGAAATGAAATTAGCACTAGTCACTCGGGGGAAAAACTTGGCAAACAATTTGGTTTGGTCATCGTTAAAAATTGTCTCTCCAGTCACGACTCAGACTCAGTAGTGAGAAAAGCAAGAAGTGGAAACAAATTGTTATGGTCATCGTGAGACGATTGTCTTCCCCTAGCTAGTTCTTTATTCAACAGCTTAAGTACTGAAACTTCTAGCAGAGACATTTTTTTAAGTGTCAAGAGCTGCAGACGGGCTACATGGGTTTCCATTCCTTACCGAAACCACCCCACCCCTCCCTTGCTAGGCAGGCTTGTTACGCCAGCTGCTACCTAAAACAAACAACCCCACGGCTCATTGCTTAAACCACGATGGGTAAATTGAGGTTGCAAAAAAGGACATTTCTTAATCCAGCCTACTTTAAATGAGTGACAGTGCTCATAACCTAAAAAAAATATTTTCAACTGAAAGTATACATTTGTTGTGGAGTATTTTGAAAGTTATTTTTAGACAGATCTATCTTATCTTTTAAGTTTAGTTTTTGATCTTTTGTTTTTACTTGTACTTTATTTAATTCACGCTTAGCTCGTGAATTTACTCAGTTACCATATTAGGAATGTTATTCGCTTGGCATTGTCACATGTTAGTTTTTTACAGGTGGTCGTGCTTGTGGTGTTAGAGCCACCTTCGTTCTTTGGTACTTATCAGTTGCGACTGTGCGTAGGCTCATCTATTCCCTAACAATAGGGAACCTGTTGCAATGTTAGCGATAAGATATACAGACATGTCCAGTTTTGGCTATTAAAACCGCTACTATACTTGAACTAGATGACAAAATCAGAGATCCGAGACAAACAAATATCTCTCCTGAGCATTATTTTTGAAGTTGCAAGCAGCAGGGATCAACTTTGAAAAACTGTTAGGCTGAACAGTTTTCAAAATCCCTAATTTCAATCAGTTTCAACCTTCTTCAGTTTTGCCCATCCGTGGCATCTGTTGTTTCTGTTGGGTTATTTTAACCTTGCTTTAAAGTTTTAAGAGGCTATTTTTATGTTTCTCTCAATTTAACGGGCATTTTGTAATTTCCTAATTTGGCTGAATTTCGTGACACAGCTCCTTTAAAATGAGAGATTATATGGACAGGCGGGTTAACCCACCTACGCGGTTTACCTCACCTTACTGGGGTCCCCCACCTCCATGTAAACAGGCCCTAAGAAATGTGCCCCGGAGTGTGATGCACGTGCGGAGCTGTTATTTTTTCATTACACAAATTGTTTTCAGACGTTCGATCGTTGCCGCCATCGTCTATAGGCTGCTTCAAACTTAATAAATCTTAATCAGTTTTAAAGCTCACAAAAAGTATGATTTATAGAACTACATGACTTTAAACAGTCCGGACCACAACCAGATCTGGATATGTAATTTCCTGCAGTGTGATTGGTCCAGAATGCAACCAACACATTGATTTGACCGCGAAAGGACTAAGTTCGACAGAAATGTCGCAGCAAAGAGCGCTATGGCTGGGATGTTCCTTGAAGAAAATGAACAGCATGTACTACCAAACCGATTAATCGAGATGATTTTATGTGTCTTAGCGTTCGATTTACAAATATCAAGATAATAATGATCGAGGAAGGTTTCTGTAAAAACGCCTGGACTTCTGATATCAAGAGGCCCGAAGCAACTGGACGACACGGATCGAAAGGGAAGAGTAGGCAATTTGAATACTTGAAATACTGATACATTTTAAGTGGAAAGGTATAAAGAAGTCGTGTTTGGAGTACTTTTTGCGAGCACTGCTTCGGCCTAGAGTAGTATGCTTTATGCTTCTTCGGGAGCAATTGCAAGTTTTCAGTGTCACGCCATTCAAAATAGATCAAAATAAAAATCAAAACCATTCGACAGATAAAGCCCAGAATCTGGGAAGTGAAAGGAGGTAAATATACAAAGACCCTCGCCAAGATTTGGGTCGAAGGAATAATTCGTATACGAGATATCCGAGGAAATGTTTTACCCAAATTTATAGAGCTTTGTATGGAGACGACATGCTGGAGCTCATCCGGATGAGCTCCAACATAGCGGACGGAAACCAACAGAAACATCTGTTGCCGAGTTTTGCTACAAAAGCGTGAATTTACCCTTAGAGGAACTCATAAACATTAAAGTAATACTCTTTCTAATACTTGAACTGTTTAGATAGCAAAATTCCTCGAAAAAAGTTACTTTTTTAACCTAAATGACAGCTTTCTCGGCCGTAATGTAAATGCTGCGTCACGCAAAAGCTTAGAAATTCAAGCGTACTCTATTACAAAACCAAGAACCCTTTTGAAGCGAAAATTTGTTTGAAAATTAGTTTTCAGCTGCTCTAATACACCATGAAAGTAAAATCTCAGTTGGATCGATAGTTTTTATTTTGAATTTTAGTGACGTCATGTGAAAACCAACAATACCATACGCGCTAAAATCTAATTCCGATCGAAGGAGTGCTGGATATCAATTTTCAATATTTCAATCGTCAAACATCTTGGATTAATATGCGAAGGTAAAAAAAATAAATAAAATTTCTGTAAATTGCACTCGCGAAGGGTCGTAAACAGTCATTAATCAATGTCTGTCTTTTCGTTGTGCAAAACCCATTGCGGATGAAAATATTAAAATACCATTCACCAGTTCAGAGGTGGACTTTATCGTGTTCTAACAACATTTAAGTGGGGTGGTAGGCCTACACGAATTTTAACTCATGCCAAAATGCTGCTTGTCTCAATTAAGTTTTTTTTACTCTGCTGGGTAGATTATGATCTGGAAGATTGTACATTTTCACTGAGATTTTAGCCGCTTGTTGCACACTGAGAGGTCATGGCACACACATCGATTTACTGTGGTTTTTGTATCTGGTCTGAAGGATTTTCCCTCTAATGCAAGAGCATTTTCTGACCTCAGTTTTTGAAGCGTAAAGCATTTTATTTCGGCTGAATAAGGGTTTTAATTTTCCCAAAGTGCCTGCTAGATCTGAATAACTAAGCGATTTTTGTTAGTCCGTGAATGTAAATAAAAATTTTTTTTTTGCAGTGTTGTATCACGCTGTGAGTTTTCTTTGCAGGATGTTAAATTATCACGGATAGTGATTTATAGATACTAAATTATAAGAATTAAGTACAGCTTCAACTGAAGCTGCATCAAATATGGAGAAATGCATTGTGACTCAGTAGACTCCAGCTTGGTGTTTTTCTATAAATGCGAGTCTTCTGACTGCGGAGCGCGTATTCCCTTCCTTGACAATAGCTTTTGAATAAGCTTAACAGTGTTTGAACTGTTTTGTTATTGCCACTTTGTGATCAGGCAAGACCATGGTTACGGTTCTCCACGAACAAACTGGCGGCATCTTTTTGCCACAAAAACAAGGTGCTTTTGCTTTTCCATCCGACTGCAAGATAAAAATAAACATTGCGTTACAATGAAAAGCAGCGGCACGTGAACGGCGCAACTGACTGTTGCATCTTCCAAAGCACAGCACTATTTGAATTCGCTATGCACTACACCAAAAAGACCACCACCAACAGGCAAATTTTATGTAGATTTCAAAAAAATTTTTTTCAAGGATCAGAAAATTGAAACTCACCTTCTTTTTTAGATGTTTTGCGCCTTGTCCGGCATTTCTTTGAGCTGAAAAACTCTCGTGTTCGGTCGTTTTGCCTCCCAAGAACGCACAAACGTTAATCGGACGGCATGTTTTCTTCACACCCCTGATTTCTCGCTGTCTAAAGTCACAGCTCTCAAATTAGAATGGGGAAAAGACACTTATAGGTGCAGCAAAGAGCCTGGAAGTGACCTTCCCCTGTGTTTCTCGGCGAGGGCGCCATTTTGCAAATGTGGGTGACGTCATCATCTATCCAGATCTGGTAGTGGCCCGGACTGTTAAAAGTCATAAATATCAAGTACCTAAGAACTGCCAGAAAATTACTTAATTCCATCAGAAAATAATTCGCTATTTTTCTTCCCCTGACCTCTTTACTTTAGCTCGTTTTTGAGTTTCAGCTCACTTAATGCGTTCCACTTTAAAAGCCATTCTTAAAGCCAGGAACTCCCTAAATTAAGAGATTTCTAATATGCACGACCCATGCATTCTAAAAACGTAAATTAAACCCTTCATTCTTTCTCTTCAGAATTTACCACCATGTATCATCACAGTCTTCGTCAAGATGTTTTTATAAAGGACGAGTACCATTATTTAAACGTTTCTAAAGTTGGAACGTTTACAGTGTATGACAGCCTTGACTGCACCTTTGAATGCCTCGGCAATCCTTCCTGTTTGTCCTTCAACCTGGCAGCTTACAAAGGAGCAGATGGAAAGTTGTGGTGTGAGTTGTTATCCTCAGAAAAGTACAGCAATCCTGAGGAATATAAAAGGAACGAGAGTTTTCATCACTTTTCCATCAAGGTGGGGTAAAATCTTTGCATAGAGTTTATTAAAGTAAGATATTTTTTGATATCCCAGTCTATGCGATTTTTAATAACCTGTCACGAACACTAATCGACGTAAAAGTGACTACTGCACGTAACAAGTCGGAGTTATTTAGTCGAATGTCACTTTCTTCTTTTTTTCTTACTTCTGCAATCAACACTTTTACGCAAAACAAAATTACCTTAATTATATGGCATTTCACATCAACCTTTTTCTAAAATTATTTCAGACTCCATGTATGTCATCACCTTGCCAGAACGGAGGCACCTGTGTAGCGAACTACAAGTATCACTCGTTCGACTGCCGTTGCAAAGAAGGGTTCTATGGGGAATTTTGCGAAAAAGGTAATTGATATTCAGACCGGGCCCTCCGTTCAAGTTAGGACAACCAAACTTAGCGGCTTTACCTAAAATTTATCTAGGAAAATTTTAAAGGCGTTGTGACCTGTACGTCACCATTGATGTTACCATGGCAACCGAGTTTTGACAGCCATGTTTTTCAGAATTTGCTTTTTCTCTTAAAAAAATAGGTTTAATTTATTTCTTTTTTTTACTGATTGAATTATTACGTTATCTACTTCTTTTTTTCAGTTGCCAAGTCCTCATGCCAAAACGTTTATAATCAGCTCACAGAAAAGTGAGTAAACCTATGCATAGTAATTTAATTGATGAGGATAGATCACTTAAAGTCCGGGGGGATCATTCGGAGTGCGTCAGTACTGTGTTTATAAGCCAAAAATCAGCCGTCAGGCCTCAAAAACGGAATACAATTGTGTTGCAGGGAAAGTCGATATCACTTAATTAATTGTACATGTTAGAATTCGTATCGTGGCTGATGAATTCTATTTCAGCCTTTGTTCTCCACTCTGGAAACTTAGGGTTATTAGAGACCTAAACTTGTAAAAACTGTTGAATTTTTAAAACAAATGATTGGTACTGTTAAGATAATAAAAACCATAATCTGTGAACACCACCATCCTGCAATGAAGGCCCTCCAGCAAAAAAAGTTGTTGATGAAATGCGGTTGAATCCCGCCGTTTCGTTTAATACGAACACCCGTATAAAATGAATGATTCGTTTGTACCGACAAAAGTTCAGATATTTCAGTGCTCATAAGTAAACCTGGTTAATATGGAAAACAAACACTTTTCTTGTGTCCCGAGTCCCAAACTGTCATATAATAATTATCGTAAACTTCCCCGGAAGGTCCTCAATTAAGTTTTATAGGGCAAGCTTAGCCCTTAACTCCTTACGTTTTATGCCCATCATTTTTGCAGAAAAGGTACTCCTTTCGTATACCATTCCATTCGTCTCTAATGGTTAAAGGTTCGAGTGGCTTGTTGCAGGCACTTCATCCCCAGGGGGTACTCAAATAAATTTTTACGGTGATACTCAACAAATTTTACGGTGATAATCCCCCCTAACAAATTTTACGCCCCCCGAGGTCCACGTCCTTACCTTTTCACATACCTTTTTGGCGGTTGAGGGGTGGACTTTATCCCCAGGGGGTGGCTTGTTACAGGCATTTTAAAATGAGCTCAGACCATACAAGGGCCAATAGGAAGAAAGACTACCTTATCAAAATCAAACCTGCACGCTATTTTAATTGGAGTTTTTTTTTTTAGTAACAAAATCGTATTAACCCACAGAAATCTGTAATTATTTGAAAAGGTTCATTGTATGCAATTAGTGCGTGGTTGTGACAAGGAAATAGACCGTGGCAGCTATAGGTAGCCAGTGGTCACCAGTGTCCATAAAGCAGGGTTGACGACATGAGAATTTAAGTCTTCGGAACACAGAAAAGTGTCCGTTCTCCGTCTCAACCGTTGTCCTTATTAAACGGGTTGGAGAAAGTACGTGAGCTTCAATAATTAAAACATGCAAAACTGACTACTGAATATCTGTGTAACATGTTCTGAGTAGTTGTCAAGAAAAACCAATCCAAGTCTTATATGTAGCTAGCGGGTAAAACATGTGTCCTTTGCCGTCAGATGGGAAAAAACATCATGCGCACCTTTTTTTCGGTTTTTCGGTCGCCCCTTTCGCCTTCCCTCTGAACATCTGCTACACTGTTTAGCCATCTTCGATGTCCGAATTTAATTGCTACAGAACACTTTAGTCAAATACACTTTATTAAAGTTAGGTGAAGAGCAGCACAGCTTGGTATTATAATGCAAAAATAAATATCAACCTGTGCTTGAGGTGAAATTATATCAGTCCAAAGTACATTAATCGTGTAGTAGCTCCTAGTAACATGATGGGGAACCTGACAAATTTAGATTTGACTGAGATTGTACTGAATTCCATTCATTTATTTTTGTAAGAAAAAGAGAACCTTTTTTTTTTTACAACCAGTTAAGGTACATTCCATTTTTTTCTCTCCGACAGTTGGGAGCTGGAAAAATTAAAATGAGATTTCATTTTGTACAGGTTGAACGTGAGTCGGTTTGTCACTCTCCTCCTTGACTCCAAACTAGTTTCAGTTCTCTGTCACTTTGGAAATTTTGGATGCGGAGATGGAGGATGGACACCGGTCATGAAGATGGACGGCAACAAGGTAAGACATTTGTGTACGTTTTCCCTTAGTTTGGCGACGAGAGTGGAAAAAAAAAAATAAATACAGGTTTGCCTCTGTCAGAGGTAATTTTCAACAGGGGCACCCAACGAGGATATAGTTCAAAACCACTTAACATAGCATTGTTGAACGTATTTTAGTATTCAAACGGTAGATATAGGCATATTTTTATCCCCTAAAAACGTTTCATCTGTTCGGATTTCCTAGCTGAAAATCTAGTTATCCGAAAATGATAGGGATAAAAACTTACCTTTTTATTCTATCGGTGACCATTAACGTCATTTTGCGTGCTGTGGCTAAATTGTCATTTTATAAAGCTGGAGAAGTGAGGACATTGCAGATATTCTTTTCATTGTAATGGATCTTTCATTCTTTCTTTTTTCTTCTCCTGAAAGGATGTTATCTTTAGAAGAAAAAAGAAGCTTAAATTTCAACTTTTCTTTTTAAAGGACATTTTTGCTATTTCTTCCTCCTTTCTACCACAGCAAACATTTCATTACGAAACAGCCTTTTGGAGAAACAAAGAAACCTTTCACCCTGACGGAGGGAAAACTGGGTTTGACTCACAGGAAACCAAACTTCCCTCCTACTGGAACACATCCTTCTCCAAGATCTGCCTCGGTATGAAGATCAACAACCAGACCAATTTTATTGTCATTAACAAGCAGGCGAACTCCTTGTACTCTCTGATCGCTGATGGGCAATATCGCAGCACCTCACTGGGTCGTGACAAGTGGATGTCACTGATTGGTTCTAATGCCTCATTGCAGCTGAACTGTAAAAAAGGAAGGGTTCAACGCAAAGTGTACCTTGAGTGGTCGTTCCAAAGCAAGAATCGGTATTCTCGGCAACGATCAAACAGATTGCCATGAATGTAACTCCAGATTGGGGTTTGGGAGTGAAGGAACTACGATGATAGGCGGAATACATGTGGAAATTTGGATAACCACAAAGGAAAAAAGACTGAGCATCAAGACAATGGGGTATATCCTGGTGCAGTGATAACAATGCTCCTTTACATGTCTTTTGAGCGAGTAGTGGGAATATAAGTTATACCCGAAGCATATAAGCCCGATTCGGGTTATATGCTTCTGATTCTTCACAGTCCCTTTAACGATACCTCATCGTTACGATGATGAGTAGAAATAAGTTTAGTTATAGACAAACATTATACACGTCTAGACCTAACGATTTTTTTTCTGTCGAGGCATGTGAACAGACAACCAGTGGGGATCATGTTTGTAATGTTTGTCCAAGAATGTTAAAGAGCGGTTCTTGGTGTGTATAAAAGTAGAAGTGCTCGGATAATTTGCTCTCCTATTCCTTGCCATTGAAACCTGTGGAATTGAAGAAACGTTTTTAACAAGAACTTAAATCTAAACGTTTCTCAATGTAAGAAAGCTACTTAAAAACGAAGAAATACATAATAATAAACTAATATAATAAACTTTATTTCTCAAACTGCGATCATATCCAGTGGTTGCACAAAAGACTGAATCAGATTTAAGGCAGCCAACCGGTCTGAGGGAGGCACTTTAGGACTGAGACTGTTGCTACACACAGATAGTCCGTTGGGAAGACTGATGTGTGATGGGTTGAAAGTGATAAAAGAGGCAGTGGCGATTCCCACCAACAAAGACACGTCCCCTACACTGTTCCAATAGTAATGTAGGTTGTTTAACCTCACCTTCAAATTTTAAAATACCGTATTTCCTCGAATAATAGCCGTCCCTCGATTAATCGCACCCCTCGAATCAATTACCCCTCTTAGACGGAAATATTGAAGACAGGCTCCTCCCTCGAATAAACGCCCACTCTCCACCTCTCTCGCCATCTTCTCTTTCTGTTATACCCTCCCGGTCAACTTGAAGTGGCGTCTGATCCAGCAGAATGATCAGTGACAATTCAATTAAGTTCTGATAGAGGATATTGACGCTGAAAATTAATCAAGGAACCAAATTTGGAACGCTTAAAAAAGACCATGTTCAGTTTTTTTTCTGATGTGATCATTTTTCGATTTAATGGGATAATAAAACAAAAGGACACGACTTCCAAAATTTTGAATAATCGCCTCCCTCGAACAATCGCCTTGTCTCCTCGAATAATCGCCCCCGGCTATTATTCGAGGAATTATAATAAATGAGGGAAAAATTAATGAGACGAGGCAAACGGCTTAATGACACCGCCAAATAATGCTGTCATCTAACCTAAGTCATGGTCACTATACACGGCCAGCATTATCTTGCCAGCATTTTGCTTATTATTAGCAAATCTGAGCTAACAGGCCGAGAAGTGGTTACATGCATGCATACAAGACAGCGAAGGAGGAAAGACGTGGGCGAGCGAGGAGCACCAGACGCGCGCGTATATCACGCCACTCGCACGAAAAACGCGAAAACCAGTACCTGTTCTACAGGCTGAGAATAAGAAAACAGGAAGAGGTACTGAGATTTTAGAAAAGAACAGGGACAGGGCGCTTTCTTTATAATGGGCTCGTGTTTGTAGCACCACTTCACAACCTTTGGAGATGTAGATGGATTCTGACAACAGTAATAAGCGGTATACAAAAATAATGATACACGACGCAGACGTAGTATAGAGTGTTTTCACTAACGTGGCCAGCATCTATGCAAATTTATTAGAACAAAAGAAAGCGTTTGCATAAGAAAAGAGTTCAACTCCCACAGGATTGGTTTGGGACACCATTTGGCCGTCGTTTCATTGTTTTGGAACACCAATATGGCCGCCGTGACGTCATGTGAAAACACTCTATAGTAGTAAGGAGCATAAGCAAAGACCACGGCTACGAGCTCGAGAACGCCACTTAATTAAAAGGTGCATTCGCTCTGCCTCGAACGTTTTCGTGCTCATTCCATCTCGTTTAATTTGTTAAATGATGGCAAATTGTTTTTGGAGTTGAATTCTGAGGGACGGTATCAAAGTTCAGGAAAAGAAAAAAAGAAAGTTGTTGTCTTGTGTCCCCGTCTTCGACAAAAGGTGAAATTAGACACTTTCACGTTATAGTCGTGTAACAAGGTGCAAAGTTGTTGTTTTGCCAATCTAAACCTATTGCTTTTTTGCCTTTCTCGTTGCCGTCGCCGTCGTCGTTGCTTAACAGGCTTAAGCTCCCTAATGATGACTGCTTTTGTTTTTCGTTTTTGTAGAAATCAGAAAAAAAAGTGTGAAAGTAATCAAGATCTGTAAGGGAACGGGGAGGGGGATCCTGCAGTCCCACATTCCCACTTCCAGGGTTTTTTACGAAAATACCGCATCTCGTCATTTTTTCATCGCTTTTCCAAATCTCCTTGGTTGTTTCCAAAAAAACAATGCTTTAAGTAAGAATAATTGTTGCATTAGGCATCAAGTCGTTAACTGGCATGGTACGCTATTGCGCCACGCGCCCTTCCCTAAGACCTTGCAACCATAAGACTCGCTATCATGCTGAATTTATATTAATAAATCGAAAGTGGCTAATTGAAACAATGGGTTTCCTGTTCGCTTTTGATTATTTTTTTTAGTGTCAATTAGAAAATTATTAACATTGGAAACCATGCACAACCTACAGATTAGTTAGTTATCTGCTAATCTACCACCCAGTGCTAGCAGATAACTAACTGTACTTTGCGTTGATTTCCAAAATTAACTGTAACTGTAGGGTCTTAAGCTTGGCCAAGGAGCAAATAGACAGTAAGTATAATGTCTAATAATTCAATTAAACAAAAAAGGGTTAAAAATCCCAACGGCCGGCAAACCAGTTGGCTATTTACAAGCGTTATCGAGGGTTTGAACTAGGGACTACCGACAGCGAGAATCCATCTCGAAATACTGTTGTTTCCAAGACAAAAAACAGTTTTCCATATTCTTAAAAATAATGGTAATTTTATTTTTTGCCGAGTAATATTGCACAGTCTCTCATTCTGGAATTTTTCGCTGAAATGATTCGAACCATTTCTACGTTCAAAAACTCATAAGTGATTCATAGCGAAAAACAAAAGAAATTTTATGTTTAACGAGTGTCCTTATATTCGATAAAGATGCGGTTAAACTGTACGTCCAAGTTTTTATAAGACCAAAATAACCCCAAATCTACGTATTAGTGCAAGAATCAGTTGATATATATCAGAGATTTTGAAGCCGTTCAAAATACTCGCGGAAGTGTATTACCAGGTGTAAAAACTCTCGGCTTCGCATCGAGTTTTTAAACCTGATAATACACTCCTGCTCGTTTTTTAAACTGTACGTAAAACCGTCATGTTAACCCAAGCGATTTAATTCAACGATATGGTTCATTTTTAATAAACATTTAAAAATCAACAGTATAGTCGACAAATAATTTTCAATATAAATTATCTAGCGCTATCAGGCGTCTTTGCCAACTGTGATAATAGGAAATTCTAGCAACGACGAAGGCGACAGCAACGAGAACGTCAAAAAAAAAACCATTAGGTTTATCGAGCAAAACAACAAGTTTGCTTTTGTGTACATTTCTTTGCCTTTGTGCTCGACTACGACGTGACAATTCCTAATTTTACGTTGTATAGAGGATTTTAGTCGCTGAAAAACTCTATATTTTGCAAGAGCGGCGCAAATATCTGTCTTGAGTAAAACCCAACAAGTGGTCTGTTATCAGTGCTGCGTTCTGATTGGTTGAGCTACTACTAGGCTATATGTTATAGCCCAACAGTAGCGAAAAGCGCCGGCTTTGAAAACCAAAACAATGGCGGCTGAATGGCGTTTTGCTAGCTTAAGTTGTTTTGTCTCGAAATTTTTGACCAACTAGTTGGATTTTACTGAAACAATTATTCCAGTACCCATTCGGGCTCGAGGAATATTTGTTAATTAGAAAGGGTGAAAACGGTTTTAGCTTTGCCGCATAAGATTAAACTCTCTTTCCTTTTCACCTGTTTGAAGTCTTTTCGTGAGTTTATACACGGTACTCGCTGTCAGTAAAATTTTTAAAAATGCTGCACTTCAGGTACGATTTCTTAGGTAAAGCTGTTCTGCTTCTCAAGGAGTTTAAGAGTCTCCTCAGTTTTTTAACCAATTTTACCGGCAAGAGAACGGGGTATACAATTAACCAAAATATAATTCTTTGGTGTTAGTAAGTATGGGTACGAAGACGAGAGTGAAAAAAAGCAAAATATAAATTATGTTTTAAAAAACAGATAAACGTAAACACTTAATAACCTTTCTGCATGTCTCTTGAAGTCTGGAACTTCCTTCAAAGGGTGATATTTGAACGCATGTCACCGAGACCAAAAACAAACAAAGTTTTCAGTATGGATTAATCAAGAAGTTAAATTTGGTAGTAGAAACATTACGGAAACACAAAGGAAGACATATTTTAATAAGCATTGTTTAAGTTAAGTTAGGACTTCTTTTCAAAGGAATTTCAATTCTGACGTTTCCCGCATGTGGCAATCCGTTAATTTGAGTAACGTTCCTTTGCTTATTACATACCCGTCACATACATAGAATTACATTCTTTATTGAGACTCCCTTCAACAGGGCTTTTCAATGTTAACTATTACATGATGTAATAATGTTGTATTGCATGTTAACTATTACATGTTAACTATTACAACGATGGAATTCCCAAGGACTTGTTTTCGTGCAGTTGCGATTCGCTCGACCCCGCAATAACACTTCTTAAGCACTTCGGCCCTGGCGCTCTTATGAGTGAACTGGACCTCTCTGACGCCTTTCGCGACGTCCTTTTTCATGACGGGGACTGGGAACTACTCGGATGCACATGGCCGGTGAAGATTGATGGTACCGTTGTTACTGGTTATTTCTTTGACACTTTTTGTCCTTTTGGTCTTCGGAGTTCGCCCGCTCTATTTCTAAAATTCGTCGACGGGCTCAAGTTTGT